TCGCAGATATCAATATACCTGCGTGTTTCTTCATACATCTGAGGGTCCAGCAACCCCTTCATACTCTCCTTGTCTCGGCATACTGGTCCTCGGCGTGCTGGTCATGGGTCCTGGATCCTGGTTCCGAGGTCTGGTCACTAGTCGATCATACCGCTAGTCGATCACACCTTCGATGTTTGTGTTGCGTCAGACAGATGTTTTCAGGCGCTCGTGAGCTCGGTTTTAACATGACATCCCTAATAGAAACATTGCTCATCGTGTTATGTCACGGTTCTGAGTTTGTGCTATGTCTTAGGTTTTCTCCCACCACTGAGTGCTGCCTACTGTTTATTCCTCCACTCATCCAGTCAGCGTCCTGCTGTGCTCAGTCTTTTTCATTTCACATTTTATTAGCAGAAACACTCCATCAGGTCGTACAGTTTTAGAAATGCAGGCCATGTTAAAATGTGTTGAGTTTAATCTAAACATCAGCTGCTACTTAGACACAAACGTGTAAGTGCTGCAGACAACAGTGCAGTTGTGCAGAGGCAGGTCGCCACCTGACCACAGGGACAACGTGCGTCTACATCCCTGTTAGTGCTCTTTAAAAGCTGCAGCTTTCTTTGCAGAAACTGAACTGGTTGGACAGAAAGGACAACATCTGGATGATCTGGCTCTTCTTCTTCTCTGGTTGGCATCCTAGTGTTGCATTGGTGCCATCTTGAATCTGGCTCTTCTCGATCGTACCAGTAGAGCTAAAATGACAAGTTTGTTCTGTGGATGATGCTCCTCCTGGGACCAGGAATGAGATCTGGACACTTTGTGGAAGTCCAGCCACCTTCAGACATTTCATGGATCAAATTTTTAGTTGTGGGATTTTTAGAGCTTTTGAATGAGGAGTAAAGAAATGCCTCTAATGTCAGTAAGTGTCCTTTGGGCCCGATGATGCTGATTTAATGGAAACCTAAGTAAAACATATTTTATCTTAAGTCACACAGATGCATGACCTTCATGCAAAACTCAAATGTGGGCAGGGTTCGTCCTCATTGATGTCTACCCCCAGAGCAAAGTGTTAAACAGTGTGAGGAGAACGACAGGCTCGGTGTTTACGGAATGTGTTCTGTGGTTCCTGCAGTAATCCCACGAAGAGCTGCAGACAAATCCTCCACAGGGTCCCACCCACACCAACCAACACCCATCTGAGGAAACACCACGGCTGTGTGCCTGCGGCCAGCCCAGGGATCGACTCCGTGCTAACACATCCACTGTGTTTACATTAGGACGGGACCCGGGTGAGCTTCAACAGGCTGCGGCTTGCTCCCGCTGGTAACAAGGAGGGCGCTTCATCCAGCCCTATGAGCAGCACTTAGTGGTAAACTGTGTCGTGACAGGAAGTCGGATGGAAGCAAACATCGGCTCATTTCATTATCCCACTTTTACCACTAAAGCCTTGGTTTGGTGGGACAGAGAAATGAATTTCACAGCCCAGGTGGCTTCGTACTGTAGTGACCACAAATTACAGGATTAGCTGTGGAGCTACCCGGATATTCCACTGAAGTAAAAGTATGAATACCGCAGGGTAGAAATACTCTGCTGCAAGTAAAAGTCCTGCATTTTATTTGAATAAAAGCAGAAAACTGTACTTTAGGAGAACCACGACTAAAAGCACTCACTGGTCAAAATAGTAGATTATAAATACTTGTGCATCCATGTGTCCACTTTGCTGCTGCTGTTAGGTGGATTCGTTTTTAATAACACAGTGAGACGTAAATGTAGTGAAAAACTACAATATTCCCTCTAAAATACACAGGAGGACAATTCAAACGTATTTCCAAATAATCTCCTAAAACGTTTCCTGGAAATAATCAGATCATTCGGTACCAATTATAGGTAAAATATCAGCTGGTACACTTCCACTTATGGCTAAATGCTAAGCTAGCACAGACCTGACAGTGCGCGGCAGGTGAGCACGCACAAAGGTTCAAAGAGTCTACAAACACACAACTGGCCACAAACTCAGTGGTTCTTTGCTGAAAACTGCAGAAATCACTGACCGGCAAAGAAGTTTAAGTAGCAGAGAACAAGAATTTCAACATGTCTGTTTGAATACGATTTGCAGCTATTTTAGGAAATGACTGAGCCTTTCTTTAAATGCAACCCTGTATTTGTGGTTGTTGTTGGTTTTGGGCTTTTGGTAATAAGAAGCATTAACTATTTTAAACGTGTCTCTGAAGACTGTAGGTGTGACCAGGTGCATGTCTCATGCAGGCTGAGGTGAGTTTCAGGTGAGGCCTCACATCACTTTATCATCCTCTGATTCAGGATTAGTGTAGCGGCAGCTCGACCAGCGCTGACTCACCTGTGTGAGGAGGCGACGTTCACCTGAGCAACGGTGGGCTCAGCATTTACAGCTCCAGCTACACCGTTTCTGACGTGTGTGTCTGAACATACATGACTGTGAAGTGTTTCTGTGCCCAGAAGGGAACGAAAGCACAAGTCACGCCCAGACCCAGCTCAAGGTGCGTCGCAGCCTTATACGGAAAGCAGTGGACGTTCAAGTGAAAGTACCACAGTGTACACATACTCAGTTACAAGTAAAGCTCCTGCACTCGAAATGTTACTGAAGTAAGGGTATAAAAAAATCAGCATCCAAATCTACTTGAAGTACCAAATTACCAGTACACGTCCTGCAGATTGGCCCGTGTCCCAGTAATGTCTCTGATACTACTGGATCATAGTGACTGATGCGTTACTGTGTTCATCACTTTAATGCTGCAGCTGGTAAAGGTGGAGCTGATGGTAACTACCTTATATACTTATACTGTGAAGTACATTACATCCTGCTGGGTAGCTGGTGGATCTCCCACCAGGATCAATAGAGTCTGATGGTTCTACTGGATTTGATTCATCTGATTCTGAAGTTATCAGGTACATGTAGTGCAGTAAAAAGTACATGGTCTGTCTAAGGATGAAGTAGCAGAACAAATACTCAAAGTTCAGCTACTTCAGAATTGTAGCCTACTTAATTAAATGTACTTTCCATTGCTGCTCTTTATTCATAATACAGTAAGTGTTTGGAGGTGGTTAAGGGCTAATTAAGAGATCTTGCTCCCTAGTGACAGAAGAAAACTAAAAGGTAAACTGAGTTCAAATTGTGTTGGCTGGAAACAACAAAGTGTAAAGATGACAGCAGTTGTGCATGCAGGAGTGTTTAACGAAGCAAGCCGAGTTCCTTCATCCTGGAAACTAAACCGAGTAGAGAACAAGAGGGTCAGACACTCACCATAGTGCGTGAACGCCGCCTGGACGGCACAAACTGCAGCCAAAACCCCGCAGAGTGAAATCCAGCTGCTGCTGCTGCTCGTCATAGTGTGTGAAAAGCAGATCAGTGTCAAATGTCCTCAGAGCTGCAGGAAGCTGCTTTTTAACTCCTGTCCTGCTGCAGGTCTGTACACGCTGTGCATGCTGCTGCACACTTACTCACATGTGATTCACAGAGTATACACTCACACACAGTCAGAGGATGTGTGTCAGCCGCTGGGAGCGCTGGGACAGTCCGGGGCGTTGTTCTGGACCTCGGCTGGGACAGTTACAGTTTTATGATACAAAGACGTTTCACAAGGCAGCGATTTAAAAATCCTATTGTGTGGACAGGAAGTGTCCCAGAAATGGAAAGTATTCAGCATTTGATTCAGATGTGTCTGTGTGCTGCTGAATGTAGGAGAGTTCAGCCGGTTGAACGGAGCTAATCATTAAACATTAACCAAGCACGACATCATAAGACCTCACAGAGCATGTTGAACCAAGTTGTTTGAGTAGCTCAGAGAAATGTGAGTGAGCAGAGGAGCATGACGAGGAGAAGTTTGTGTTCATTTAGTTTTTATCTGCCTGAAACTGTTCAGCCAGCAGTGGCCTAGAAAATAACTTTATAGCACTTTTGAAAAACAAGTTACAAAGACATGAAAGAAAAAGAAAAATGACCAGAAATATGCTAAATAAAAGTACAAGTAAACACAAATAAGAACAAAATGGTAATTGCACTAAAAAGATAACACAAGAGAATGTGTTTCTCAAAACGTTTGTTTTTGAGAGAGATTTTAAAGAGTTTTCAGTCTGTACCTAGAACTTGCCAGCAGTCAGGAGGATTAGCATGGTCTACAGTAATTCACATTCTAACACCGGTTCTAAACTCTGCAGGTTAGCAGCGACAATGAAAGTGGCCTTATGGGGGTTCTTTTGCTGGACTTTGTGAGTTCTGTGAGATAGGAGTGCAGCGGGCCACAGTATGTTCAGGTAACACATGGTAATGACTGAGCCTTAGACGTCAAGTCAAATGTATTTATAGGGCACATTTAAAAGCAACAGATGCTGACCAAGGTGCTTTACTGACAGGAAGTAAACAAGACAAACAAAATGTTAATCATTGTGAAGACTCACTCAAAAGCAGCAGTGTAAGGCTGGGACATAAAGGTGGAAACCAGTGAGGAGGAGCTGGCGCTAATGGGTGAACTGATCCACAGTGTGGGAGCAGCTCTGGAAAAGGCTCCGTCACCTGTGGATCTGTGAGTGTGGAACTGATCCAAGGGTCTGGATGTGGAGCGAGGGACAAGGGGATCTGAGATGGGAGCTGGTGCCAAACCATGCATCAAATATTCAAAGCAAGTGGTGCCGAGGAGAGGTGTTCTCCACTCCTGGCACCAGTGAGGAGTCCTGCTGCTGTAGCAGTAGGTGCATGTTTGAAGAGTGTCAGAATCTGTTTGCTCAGCAGTCACAGTTTTGGCAGTTTTATCAATAATGTGTATTGTACTTGCAGTATTTTCTCATGTTGTGAATCTCTGTGGCCCAGAGGACACTCCTCTCATTGTCGTTTTGGTTTCTCAGTAGCCACATTTGAGTGGTTGATTGTTGTATTTGGACTCATGTTTCTAACATTGGCAGTCTGGGTACTGAACCTGCCTGTGTGGTGTCACTAAATCACAGCCCTCAGGACTCAGGGTTGTTTCCATTTGTAAACTGTGTCCTGAAGCTGCAGGTATGACGGAGCGGCCAGACACACCCTGAGCTTCAGATGCACACACGCACACACACCGCCAGCTCATGGTTACACACCTGAACACTTTCCCCACCACTGATCTGCACAAACACACCGCTGCAGGCTGGAACACACACAGAGCCACGCCCGGTCTGTTCCTGTTACCTTGTCAGCCCCACACCCTCAAAACACACGTGTTGTCAACATCTGTCTGCATTTCCCAACTCTGAGTTCACTTTTCAGCTACACTATCAGTGTGTCTGGTTCATGTGTAATCACTGAATAAACATGTCATAACTGGCCTGTAACAGACTGCAGTCTGGCTGTAATCAGTGCTGAGTGTTTATTAATGTGTTAGTGAACAACTTGTCCTGTTCTCACCCTGAACTGGAGGCTGCTGCATTCATATGAAATCATGGACCGTGTATACAATATGCCTTCAAATGAGATGATATAGTTGTTGACAGACACTGAACATGAATAATGTTGGTCTTTTTATGTCTAAATCTGTGTTTCATGTTCTCTTAATTGTATTTTTACTTTGGTAACTTTAATTAATAATTATAATAAACAAAGTAACCAGAAAATCTAGCAAAACTATTAGTGTATTATAATTGTACAACAACTAGATTAGAGCACCAGTACAACAGTAATGCAAAGATTGTAACTGATGGCAGAGGCTGGTTCCAGATGATATTAGAACAAAAATAATCTCCAGTCACCAGATGTTGTTGTTGTAGGTTCAGTTTTTTGTGTGGAAATGAACTGCCTGTGTCTAGCTGTTGCAAACTGTCTTGACTCAAATTAAGAATAAAGTATTTTGAATTGAATTTACACTAAAGCAATTTTGATAGCTGCTGGATTCATCATAATACCAGGAGGTTCACACTGGTGTAGTACTAGTCACACTCCGGCCCAGCAGGGGGCGTGATAAACATTTTTAACCGGAAGTCAACCACAACAACAGATCCAAGTGAAGGATAGCAAGCTCCCGGTGTAGCAGATCTGAAGTCTGCAGTAACTTTCATCTTTACCGATCTGACTGTGAGTCATAAGCTTATTGCCAACAGTTAGATTTGTTAATTAATTGTTAGTGTTTGTAATGCAGTTCAGTGTTTCCAGCAAAGGCAATAATTTATTATTCTACGCAGTAAGCCTAACAAGAGTGAGGTTCACTAATTGATTCAACGAGCTAATGGCAGCTTTATCTCACGAAGCTTGAATGAATGAGTGTGCGCATTAAATATTGGTCTGACACGTAAGTTTAAAACACGATATAGTGACTGTGTGAGTTTGGTGTATATAAATAACGTAGCAAAGTGCTGATGATTGGCGGAAGTTAGCCTTAGGTGGTGCCGCTAGCTACGAAGATAAAGCCGGAGTGTATGCTAACGTGCAGGTTGCTGTGAAGAACCGTGAACACAAAGTGCCAACAAACAAGCACTGTCCCTTTTAAATTTTCGCTTCGTTACTAAATGGTTTGCATAACATTTATAAGGTTCCATGCTTTCAAATCGTTTCCCTGTAACTACAAGCCAAACTCGATTGAAAAAAACTTGTAATTCAAAGCGAGTGGCCTTATCTACCACAACACAGGGGTTCTCATGTCTACTTCTGAATTACATTAACCTCGTGTTGGGCTGTCATTTCCGTCCCGAAGCCATTTCGAGGTTTTATTTATTCATTAAACCGGGTTAATCAAGACATTACAGTCGAGTATGTCTCCTAGGTCAACGAACGATTTTTGGGTGGAGTTTTGTTATTATATGCTCTTTGGTTACTCCGAGTCTCAGAAGCCGTTTGGAATTAGCGAACATTAATTACGCTGACAGGAGTGGTCACAGTTAAATTGACTGGTTTATTTTAAAGTTTGTCAGGCAGTTTATCAGAACTTGTTTGTTAGTTAACTGCCAGGAGTTTATTTCACACACTGAAGGGTCTACAGAGAAGGACCGTCAGTCCACCATGGCAGACATCAAGAACTTTCTGTATGCCTGGTGTGGAAAGAAGAAGCTGACTCCCAGCTATGACATCCGAGCTGCAGGCAACAAAAACAGACAGAAATTTATGTGTGAGGTGAGTTTTCTGTCTACCCCGTGTTCTGCTGTAAGTTCTGTTCAGCTCACTTACTCTGTCTGACCTTAAACTCTCCTCTGTGCAGGTTCGTGTTGATGGCTTCAGCTACATCGGGATGGGAAACTCCACCAACAAGAAGGATGCCCAGACCAACGCTGCCAGGGACTTTGTGAACTACCTGGTTCGAGTTGGGGAAATGAATCCAGCAGAGGTCCCAGCTATGGGGGTCAGTACACCATTCCTGTTGTTGTGTAAATGATGAAACAAAAACTGACTTAGTGGTTTTCATATCATGTCTTAAAACCTCCAAGAACGAAGTATGAATGAGTTTCCATCTCTGAGAGTAAACCACTCACAGGGTTATAATGCTGCTGGGCCAGAGGTTTCAGAATGTGAATCCCAGTTCAAAGCTGAGTAATAACAACTAAATTCCTGTTGCAGTTAGTTTCAGTGGAACAGAAAAGTTGTTTTAAGACATTGAAACCACTAGCTATTTAATATTCCATTAAAGAATTAATAAGGACATCAATCAAATATTTGGTCTATACTAAGAGAGACTTTGCACAATGTTCTTACTTTGCAAATAACTTAAACAATTGCCACAGTTATTCAAATGGTCATGGGCAGATTTTCTATTAACTGAGGAATTAACCAGCTAGTCCTCTCAGCCCGTGCCCTCAGCTGCCATCCACATGCTACAGTGAACAGCTCTGGTAGTACAGGTCACATTAATTCAAGTTCACAGACTGAATCTGAATCTTGTGTTGCCAGGTGAGCGCTCCAGGTGGTGACCAGCCTGATGGAGGAGGCGGGGAAGAACACTGTGACGGCTTTGGAAACCTCCCATCTGGCGGCCCCCTACCCCCTCACCTTGTAGTGAAAAAAGAGCAAGGTAACAGAATCGTTTCTTTAACAATAAGTCACATTTTAATTAAACTGCTGTTGGCGTACATGCTCCTCTTTCCTGGAGATCACAGCAGGACAATATGAGTGCTGCTTTTATTCTGCACTGCTAAATGGCAGCACAGCAGGCTGCAGACTCGTCTCAGTCGTCTCATAAACCTGACTGTGATGAACAAGTCTGAACAAGCTCAGACTCACATCATCACATTCATTCAGACACGACCCACAGCGCCTGCGCTAACATGAGCAAAGTTTTCCTCCCTGTTAATTTTACAGATATGCTCACTGCCAGTGCCAGCTTCAACCCACCTTGTTCACTTTTTGCACACTTCAGTAAGAAGTTGCCGTCAGCATCACTCTGCATGTTTGTCTTTATTCTTGTTGTTACAAGAGGGCAGCAGCGGTGGGCCAGTTCCAGGAGTGACTGGACTTGGTTACTCAGGAGGAGGGAACTCTGGATTAGTAGGAGGAGGAGCTCAGTGGGACCGAGGAGCCAACCTGAAAGAGTACTATGCCAAGAGAGACGAACAGGAGGCACAGGCGGTACGACTTCCTGTTTATTTTACCACTGACAAAACCCAGCTGACTGTCCTGAGTACAAAAAAGAATGTTTCCAGGGAAGGCTCAGCCTGCGTCAGTGGCTGCCCAGTAACATCTCTAGGAGATAATACTGACACCAATAAATCCACATTAGCAAATTGGAATGTTATTCACTGTTCTTCTTGTGCCTGTCTGGATGTTTGTCGTAGACTCTGGAGTCGGAGGAGGTGGACCTGAATGCTAATCTCCATGGTAACTGGACACTGGAGAACGCCAAGGCCCGTCTAAACCAGTTCTTCCAGAAGGAGAAAACCAGCACGGAGTATAAATACAGCCAAGTGGGACCAGACCACAACAGGTGTGCATCAGAGAAGTCGACGTGTGCGGGGTGGTTAGAAAACAGCCTGGATGTTTCACGGAGCACAGACCACAGTCCTGCGCTGTGCCGTCTGCTTATTTAAAGGGGAACGTCACAGGTTTTCAACCAGGTTTTAACACTTATAGAACTGGTAACAGCCTTTATCTAAATGATGTTTATTTTACATCAGAAATCACCATTTGCTCTCCTGCAAGAATCTGTCAGGTAGCGCAAATGACACATTTCCCTTTGAATGACTTTAGTAATTTTTTTGCTTATAAATCAGATAATCAGCGAGTCTATAAAATATAAATAAAGCCCCAAACTAAAATACTCTCAAACATTTGGTTTACAATGAAATGAAAACTAGAAAAGCAGCTAAACCTTTGGGAGTTTTACTCAATGAATTAAATATTTTTATTGACAGATTTTCTGTCAGTGAATAAAATTTCTTTTTTGATTATTATTCCAGATCATTTCCATTCTAGTAAGCATGTTCACGAGGCTGCTTGTTTCTGGGATGGAGGAGCTATTTTAGAATAAGTAACTTTATTGATGACATCCGTCATAACTTCAGGCTCATCTTTAACACTCAGTCAGATCCCTGGTGGATTTCACATTTCACGGACGTTTATTGGATCATTTATGATGTGATAACTACAGCTTCTCTGGAGCCCTTACAGAGAGTTGTCATGAATTAAAGACTTCTTCAGGAAATGTCCTGATTTTATTTGTTTCCTGACCTTTTCTCTTCTGCGACCTTTTTTTCTGATTGTGTTTTGTCCGTTTCTCCTTTTTCTGCTTCATCTGCTGCTCTTACAAAAACCTTATTTTTTTCCTCTTATGTCAGTAAATGCAACATGATAGCGATGACAGGAGAAAGGTTTGCTTGTGCCCTGTACTCAAATGAACACTTGTCAGCAGTTACAGCCACTCTCTGAGCATCAACACACCCTGGCTGTGTCTTGGCAGCATCAATGTGTTTCAACCCTCCACACATGCTGCACCTCCCCGATCAGCACACCCCGACGTGGCCCTGTGATGCAGCCGGGTTGTGTGAAATGAATTGGTTGTCATTGAAATCCCACACTTGTGTTCAGGATGTTCCTGTATGTTTTTCTGCTGGACTGCTGTAAACACAGAGACCTCCAGAGTGTGTTGGCTACACCAGAGAGATCTCACAGTTGGAACACTGCATGTGCAAAGTGAACATCTAACACAGTGAAAGTAGAGCAGGGAGCAGGAGGAGGGGGCCCAGGCACCAGCTGAAACTGGTGGCCTTTGGAGGCGGAACACAGAGCAACACGAGAACTCACAACCACACTGAAGGAAGACATGAGACAGTGTTTAGATGAACTAAAGCTGTCCCATGGGTGCATCTCGGTTCTCAGTGGAGTCTGGTTGTGATTTCTGGTGTCGCTGTTCACCGCAGGGCAGGGAGCAGCCGGGGACCCCACAGTCACAGCTGCTGACGGGTGTTGTTTTTTTTTTAAGTCTGGCAGAAAAACATACAGGCTTCCTCCTGAGAACACAATGGGTGAGTTCATCACTTCACTTTAATCATTGCTCATGCTTTTAGTTTGAAAAACCCAGGAAGTAAAGCTGTGCTCTTTTTATGTCTGCAGGAGTTTCATAGCGGAGATGCAGCTGTTTGTGAAACAGCTCGGCAGAAGTAAGAAACTCGCACCTCTCTTTTGAAATGCTGTTAAAGTTTCATTAGCAAATGTTGAAAAAACTATTTTATACAAATCTGAGTAGAAATCTGATGATAATTTCAGGTTTAGTCACTCAGCCTGAGTAAGAGCAGTTTTTACTCTGATGTTTGTGTTAGTTCCATATGTCAGGTCAAAGTTCACAGCACTCTTTACCTGTCTGTTCTGAAGGGATTACGGCTCGAGAGCACGGCTCCAACAAGAAGCTGGCGGCCCAGTCATGCGCCCTGTCTCTGGTCCGACAGCTGTATCACCTGGGGGTCATTGAGGCATACTCTGGAGTCACCAAGAAGAAGGAAGGAGAAACTGTACGCCAGCAGGACATCCTCCTCAGCCTTGTCTCAGACAGTTTACTGACAGATGTGTCGCTTCAGATAAAGTCAGGCTTCAGCCAAACAACATTTGTTTTTGACTCTGTGTTTCCTGTGTCCAGCTGGAGGCCTTCGAGGTCCATGTTTCTCCAGAGCTGCAGCAGCAGCTGGCCGGTGTCGTCCAGGAGCTCGGAGTCCACATCCCCCCGTCTGTGAGTCACCGGAGTACCCAGAATTGACCCTTCTAGTAGCTGACCCTACTTGTCAGGGCTAACTTGGTTTGTCTTGGTTCATCTCGTCCGGTCCAGCCTGCAGATCCCAGCAGTTCGGTGTCTCTGATCCAGGGGAAGATGGCGACATTTGAGCCATCCCAGCGTCAGAGTGGAGCTGGGGTGGTCCCCTGGTCCCCTCCACAGGTCAACTGGAACCCCTGGACCAGCAGCAATATTGACGAGGGGCCGCTGGCCTACGTGAGTCTTTGTTCTCCTACTCGGGCAGATTGATTTTATTGATTTGCTGTGTACTGCCAGGCATTCAGATAACACTGATGCACTGTTGCATTACCTAGTAAACCAGTATGAATGCAGAGTGATGGACACTGGTGGACCTCTTAATATTCAAGTTCATATTTGTGTTTCCCAGAATTTTCCCAGTCAGAGAACAGTCACTGTACTTTGTGGGGTATTAGTCGCATTTGGTGAAGAATGTGTTGTTGGAAGAAGAAAAACCATAGGTCACAGTTTTGTCTCCATGTCCTGCTGTTATTGGGGCATGAAGACGTCACTGCGCCATGGATCACTCTGTGCCAGCAGGCCACCATGCATATTGTCATATAGTGACAATCTGTCTGTAACGTCTGTCCTCAGATTACAGAAGCCATTTAAACGGTGACAGTGATTTGGAGGATGGGTGTACGATGGCCACGATTCCCAGTAATAACTTGCTTTCTTGTAATGCTTTTGAGAGTTTTTTTTCTTGCTTTGCTGGAATCCAGTTGCTAAAGCTGCTAAGACGGAGCTGTGTGTGTTTTGATTTAATCATTATCATGGACCCCACTAAGTGGCTTTTAATTCCACAGTAAATTTTTAAATGGATTTCTACAAGATATTAGTCTGTAGGGTGTCCAGAAAAATGTTCTTACAGCGAGGGCATACTGCTGCTAATGGATCTGTAGTGATGTAACTAAGTCAGACTAAAGGCGCCTTCGGACCAAAGAGTCCTAGGGACTTAGTTCTAGGGACTACCCACCTGGGGAACCCCTCCAACAGATACAGACCTTTCATGGGCTTTTTCCTGTATGCATTTGCACCACCAGTAGGAGTGCTGAGGTGATGTAATACTAAGCTGGCTGACTGTTAGCCACTAGCCAACAAGCTCACAACAGGTAACAGAGTCACATTACAATACCAGTTTAGTACTTTCTTTATATGTTTCTAACCTTTAAGGAGCCGCTGGCTGTCTGCAGAGGCTTACGCTGGCGCACTGCAGCTCCCCATGTCACTGGTGATGGCTGCTGATCGCTATACACGGCTAATGTGGTTTTTATAAAATGACGGTGCTGCTCTGGCCATAGTACATGCATGTCATTCATGGTTCCTGTTGTCCGTGGAGAACACCTGCCCTGAAGCAGGAGCTAAAACACTCCCTCAAAACAGTGTTTTAAGAACTGTTACCATTCTCAGTTCCTCCAGTGCAGACACACAGAAAAGGGCAAACTTTTTCTAATACTTCTAAGAAATATGAAAAAGCTCCTCCAGTCTGAAAGCGCCTGAAATGACTGAAGTCAGGAATACTAAGCTGAAGTATTTCTCTGTTATCCTGTCCTCCAGTGCACCCCGGAGCAGATCAGTGCCGACCTGCATGATGAGCTGATGTACCAGCTGGAGCACGACGACAACCTGCAGAAGGTCAGCTCTTCCTCGTCTGCATCTGTGGCTGCTTTTGTTTGTGCAGCACTGGACTGATCCCTGCTGTCCTCATCGTCCCTCATGGTTGAGTTAAAACAGCTAAAAGTGCCTCACAGCCTGTTTGTGTGTAAAGACAACAGAGAACGCACACACATTTCACTGACAGTGAACGGTTGTCAGCAAGGTGAACTTTTGACTTGTTGAGGTTATAGACAAGTCAGGACAGGTCTGGAACACTGAAGGTTGCAGCTGGTGATTCTGTCTGTTTGTGTTACTGTGCACAAACCCTGTCCAGAGACCAGCGGCACCAGTGAATGTGGTGTCCTTACCGTAAAGTGTGCGAGTCCAGACCCTGGTGTAGCTTGTCGGGCTGTACTTCAGGAAACGTGAGGCCCATCTGTTTTCAACAGCCTGCTCCAGCATGTTCTGTGCAGTGTAGTAGTAGCTGGTGGACAAGTGTAACCAGAGACCGACGACCTTGTCTTCAGACACTGTTCTCAGCCTTTGCCGCATACCAACATCTGTAAATCTGGGTACATTAGTTAGTCAAATGTTGGCTCACCAGTTTATTCTACTAATTGCTCAGCCCTAATATTTAGCTTAAAAACATCTGAGTTCAGCCTTGAAAACCTCCCATGTGTAATTTCTGTGTAACCATAAAAGGGAAACTCTTCAGGTTGATGTGGTGTGAATTCAAGAGAAGAGAAATGATGATTTGTTGAACAATGGACCTCGAAGTGTTGGTGATGGTCTCTCTGTGGTTCAGATCCTGGCAGATCGTGACCAGCTGCCCGTCAAACAGTTTGAGGAGGAGATCATGGCAGCTGTCAGCAACAACTCTGTGGTGATAATCAGAGGAGCAACGGGCTGCGGTAAAACCACTCAGGTTCCTCAGTACATCCTGGACCGCTTTCTCAAAGGAGGCCGAGCGTCTGACTGTAACATCGTGGTCACCCAGGTAATGCTCAGCAGCTGACCCTCATTGATGACAAATTACTCTTCTCTGTGAGTCAGGTTTCTATTTTCTCACCCTTACTTGTGATGTAAAAGAGACTGTAGAGAGAGACACGAGCTGCAGAAAGTAAAGCACACACATTTATTATAGGACACTAACAGTCACACACTGAGGGACTGAATATCTGCGTGTCTGGGAGAGTGCGACAGTCATCGATAATCAGTCATAAAGACTAGTTATACAGATAAAGTTTCATTGTGGATTAATACATATGATTTCAAAGAGACTTTCATACAGAGGAACTTAGTCTAAGACGTGATCCCCATTTGACACCACAGCCTTATGTCACTGAAAATGTCCTGGACAATTATTTCCTGAGAAGAGTGGGAACCCGGCATGGGCGATGAGATGAAGGTAATAATATCCGCCACATCCCAGAGGATATAAACTGTCCGGTGGTCACGAGATCCTTGTTAAGATGCTCCCAGCAGTTCTGTGGGGTCTGGAGCAGCTATGGAGGAGTCTGTGCTGACTCGGGCTGTATCAGCTGCTCCTCAGACTCCGATCCCAGTCAGTGTGTTTAACGTGAGCCTGTCTTCTTCTCTGCAGCCCCGACGTATCAGCGCTGTGTCCGTGGCTGAGAGAGTCTCCTACGAGAGAGGAGAGGATCTTGGGAAAAGCTGCGGCTATAGCGTCCGCTTTGAGTCGGTCCTCCCTCGACCCCACGCCAGCATCCTCTTCTGCACCGTTGGTACGTACCTTGTCCACCAGGTGCTGATCAGAAACCGGTCAGGCTTCACTGCCTTGTCAGCAGGGTGCTCAGGAGTGTTTTGTGTTTCAGGTGTTTTGCTGCGGAAACTTGAAGCAGGAATCAGAGGGATTAGCCACGTTATCGTTGACGAGATCCACGAGAGAGACATCAACGTAAGTTCATTCATTAACCGGGTCACGGGTTTATAAGACAGGACAACTTCCTGTGTTGTTTGACCCCTTGTGTGCCTGTACAGACCGACTTCCTGATGGTGGTCCTCAGGGACGTGGTCCAGGCCTACCCAGAGGTCCGCATCATCCTCATGTCGGCCACCATCGATACCACCATGTTCAGAGAGTACTTCTTCAACTGTCCCGTCATCGAGGTGTTCGGACGCACCTTCCCTGTTCAAGGTACCTCGGGGCCACCTGTCTGTGTGCAGAGATGGCTGCTCTGTGTTGGTTGAAAACATTGATGGTCTCGTTCTCACTCCGCTTTCCGGCTGGTTCCAAAACAGAAATGTAGTGTGTGAGGCTAAGGACAGAAGTGGCAAAGTGAGGAGAAGGTAAAACAGCCGGATTTCAAGAATTTACGTTTTTTCACATTAAAAGTGGTAGAAATCCTCCTGATGAAACCAAAAACGACACCACAGCTGGAGTCGCATGTCAGGACATTTATTCAGCTACCAAAGCAGGCATGAAACAAAGAGTCACTTACCTAGAGTGGTGTTATTTTTAATGGGAAAAACTGACCAAGGATCCCTGGGTCAGTGTGCTCCCACTGGAGTTTGGTACAGTTAACTAGGGCTGGGCGATATGGCAAAAAATAAAAATCTAGGTTTTTTCATAAAATGTGACCGATTCACGATTTCGATTTCGATTTTTTTTTTATGTGTAACTAGCCAACTTAAACACAAGTACAACAACGTGACTGAAGTAACATTCTCTTCTTAAGTAACTTGAAAAACCATCAGTTTAAGAAACATTGTATTTTAGTGTGCATGCCATACATAAATTGGTCAACAAGGTGTAAATAAATGTAAAACAAATTCTCTAATGAAATGTCTTTGCAGCTGAATTAAATATGAAAGTAAATATTGAATTCTTCTTAATACAGAGTAAGAAAATAACCATTTTAAATCAATGACCAATGATTTTAACCAATCAGTCAACTCAAAAATTAAGCACATTTACACCAGAAGCATTATTAACAGTAAATGTTTGATAAGAAGCCAGCACATCTTTAAGCCCTTGACCAATTACTTCCCCAGTATGATCGTCAGGAAAATAACATGTCTGAAGACAAACACTTCGCAGTTTCCATTCTGCATCAACATAATGGGCTGTGAGGCTCATGTAAGGCTGAAGAGTACGACTACTCCACAGGTCAGTCGTCGTAGAAAAAAAAGATGCCTTATCAAGCTGTTCCGCTACTTTTTCACGTGTTTCAGTGTACATTCGAGGAATAGCTACGTCTTTGAAATATTTGCGGCTTGGCAACGTGTATCTTGGATCAACAGTGCGAAGCATTTTTAGGAACCTGGCTTTTCGATGGTGTATATGGGAACCATGTCCTTAGCGATATGAAACGCCACAGCATCTGTAATTTCTTGCCATCGGGGCACCTTTTTGTCATATGGAGTGGCATTGGAAAATGATGCCGCTAATGACATCTGGCGTTTTGCTATTTTAGGTTGCCCCGTTGCACTTGGCTTGTTTTCGTCTCTTAACTTTGAGCATTCTTCCCATTCTACTTGGTGTCTTTGTCGCAAATGTTGGAATAAATTAGTGGTGCTGCCACTGCCGGTTGCAACGGACTTTCGACATATTTTGCATTTGACAAAAGTTTGTTCGACGTCTTACCTCTCAAAGCCTAACCATTTCCAAACCACAGAGGAAACGTTACTAGTACCTTTTTTTGGCACAAGGTCATCTTGATGTGAAGAGCCACCCATCTCCATGATGTTTTTCTATAGCCTATTACGTTCCTTCATAGAGTGCTCTCACACGTAAGCGGTTAATTAGGCGCGCCATCATGTGGTCGGACAATATTGCCTTTTAATTATTCTGCCATTGGTGCAATGACAATGTATCTATTTTTTATTATAATTAAAAATTGCTATACCTCGATTTAAAAAAAAAAAATCGCCTTAAAACGTAAATTCGAATTAATCGAAAAAATCGAAAGAATCGCCCAGCCCTACAGTTAACACATTTGTTTGTTTGCAGAGTATTTCCTGGAAGACTGCATCCAGATGACCCACTTTGTCCCTCCACCGATGGACCGAAAGAAGAAGGAGAAAGATGAGGAGGGAGGAGATGACGACGTACGTTTGTTCTGATGTGACACTCAGTGCATCGGGATGTAAATGTCCCACTGAAAAACATTAATAAGTGTGCGTGAGCGTAGTCAGTCATCATCATGGCCGGCACTTTCCACGCCAGCAGTAGGAGCACTGACAGAGATGGGTTTCTCAAAGTTGGATCACAACCCAAGAAGTTCTTTTCTAGTTTTGAGATCAAATTCTAGACTTTGAGAGGATTTCATTTCCATATACCCCGATCATTCAGCACATTTTCAGAGGTCTCAGTTGGCCTTCGGTGAAGAGCATCACACACTAATAAGAAACTGAGACTTCCCTCTCACATTATAATTGTCCCAGTGTAGCAACTGTTTCTGTGTCAGTTTGGAGACTAACTCTTGTTTTCCTGCCTGTGCAGACCAACTGTAATGCGATATGTGGCTCGGAGTACACGGTGGAGACAAAGCAGTCCATGGCTCAGATTAACGAGAAGGAGACGTCCTTCGAGCTGGTCGAAGCGCTCTTGAAATACATCGAGACGCTGCAGGTGGCTGGAGCCGTGCTCATCTTCCTGCCTGGCTGGAACCTCATCTACTCCATGCAGAGACACCTGGAGACCAACCCACACTTTGGTGCGCTTCACATCGCACATCACACCTGCAGGAGGACGGCTGAGCTGCCTGCAGGGACCAACACACCACTGCACTGCTGCCTGTCCTCCCCCTTAAACTAAAAGACCTCAGTGTGAAAGCAATTCAAAAAGGAAGTCCTCTTCACAATAAAGGAATGACCTTGAAATGACTGGGTTTTATCCTGAGATACGACCTCAGCAGGTCGTGTCATCTGTCTGTGGCAGCTCCATCTGAACACAGCAGCGTTTTGGCTTGTGACCCATTAGAAGTCCATACCAGCAGGTTTACAAGTTGTAGCTCCTTAAGTACAAATGATAGATTCTTAACTAACTTGTTGACTGTTTTCAAATGCATGCACCTTTCAGATACAGATTTTCTTTTGTTTGAGGCACCCCTTGGATTTCACATTCGTATAGCTTGAAAATCAAATACTAGACCATTTAAACTGGCCAGAGGCATCTCATACATCACAGGTGTTGTGTTAAAGAGCACAAAAGTCACTGAGATGTTTCCTTTTGTTTATGGTCGTATATCTCCGCAGGGGTAGGTGCACACACCGTCTCAGTAAACCCTGCAGTGATGTGGGTCTGCAAACCCTCTTGCAGTGCTTTGGATTTTGGCATCCCAGCTCCCCCGTTTGACTTCTCTGAGCGTGATGTATAAGTGAGCAAAGCAGCGCAACCTTTTTTTAAAATAAACCTAGTTACACTGCATTAGGAAGCAGTGCTGGAGTAAAACTGGGGGAGAAGAACAGACAATGCAGACCTGTTCACTGTGATGTGTGACACAACTGACAGCAGGATTTCATACCATACAGACATGAACAGAAACCAGTCTGGTAGGAGATACATCTGAAAACACACCACTGGTTTGCAAAGTGGTTAAAGAAGCATATGTGCTTCCCAGTAATGAAGACAAAACCTGCAAACCCACTGGTATGGACCTTCTCAAGTCAGAGCAACCTCTTTGTTTAGCAGAGGTTTGACCTCCTGTAACACTGGATGCAAAACTGAAGTGTTGGAAATGAATATAAACACAGTGTAAGATATGCATAGTGAATGCAGTGCAGGTCGGGCTGTGATGGAGTTTTTGTTTTTTTTTTCTGTTTGTTTCAGGAAGTAACCGGTACCGGATCATGCCGCTTCACTCCCAGATCCCCCGAGAGGAGCAGAGGAAGGTGTTTGAGCCGGTTCCTGACAACATCAGAAAGGTCAGATTCAGGCAGATGGGAAAGTACAGTTAATGTATTGAGTGAGCTTCAGACCAGTTCCTGGTCACAGTCTCACTCTGAGACTCCTGCTGCTTCAGACAGAAGCTCATTAGTGCGTACACGAAACCAGTGTGCATCCTCTGAGACATGAATGTCGGTGCTGTTTGTCATTCAGACTGAACTCTCACAGGAGCTTGGTGTTGGCTCCAAACAGTCCAGCATCAGTTGAGCTCTAGCTGTTGGGAAAACATGTTTGTTTGCTACTTGGATGACACATGTTCCACTTCTGGTGTGATGTTGCAGGTGATTCTGTCCACCAACATCGCAGAGACGAGCATCACCATCAATGATGTCGTCTACGTCATCGACTCCTGCAAGTAAGTGTCAGGCTGTCGGTGTCAGTCTGGATTTCCATATATGATTGTTCTGACAGTGTGCTCGCTGTGCTCACAGGCAGAAAGTGAAGCTCTTCACCTCGCACAACAACATGACCAACTATGCCACCGTCTGGGCGTCCAAGACCAACCTGGAGCAGAGGAAAGGTCGCGCCGGCAGAGTGCGGCCCGGGTTCTGCTTCCACCTGTGTAGCCAAGCTCGGTTCGAGAAGTAAGCCTCCTCGGTGTGTGTTCGGCCGTGGTGTCGTCGCTCCCCATCTGCTTGTGACCACAGATGTGTGTGTTTCATGCCTCTGCAGGCTGGAGACTCATATGACTCCAGAGATCTTCAGGACACCGCTGCATGAAGTTGCTCTGAGCATCAAACTACTGAGACTTGGAGCCATCGGACACTTCCTGTCCAAGGCCATTGAGCCGCCGCCGCTGGACGCTGTCATCGAGGCTGAACACACATTGAAAGGTACAAAATGCACTAAGGTGACAGGCTCTGGTATTGGGCCACCCTGATGTCTACACAGCAGTACATAATGCCTCCTCTACTAAAGTCACCACGGCCCTTTGCTATTGTCTCTGAATCATGTTGGTATCTGTCGCTCTTCTATCAGGAGAGTTGGTCAGTATTTTTCAGTGCTGAAAGGCAGATACAAAGGTCTTTGGGGAACTATCAGAAGTGTTGTGGTTGTGTAGTCATTTCTTACCAAGAGGAGCTGCAAGACAAGACCTGTTTCTAGAAAAAGAAAAAACTAATGTCATTTTAACCGGTGTTTTGACTCATGGTGAGAAACTGTAGTTGCAGCCAGGGGAGATGAGTGACTGGCTTGTTTCCTTCAGAATGAACAGAAACAGTAAAGTGTTGTGATTATTTTTCTTGACCTGCTGAGGACTGAAGCAGCAGAGGATAGTTTCCTGTCAGCCTCCCAATGACTGCGTGTGTGTGTGTGTGTGTGTGTGTGTTTCAGAGCTGGACGCTCTGGACACTAACGATGAGCTGACTCCTCTGGGACGGATTCTGGCTCGGCTGCCCATCGAACCTCGATTGGGGAAGATGATGATCATGGGCTGCATCTTCAGGTCGGTTTTGCTGCTCTGTCCTGGGGAATCAGCCAGTAGCCTGTTTACTTTATGACTTTAAAAACTGTCTGTCGCCCTCTAGTGTTGGAGACGCCATGTGCACCATCTCAGCTGCCTTCTGTTTCCCAGAGCCTTTCATCAGCGAGGGCAAACGTCTCGGCTTTGTCCACAGAAACTTTGCTGGCAGTCGTTTCTCTGATCACGTGGCTCTGCTGTCTGTCTTCCAGGCCTGGGATGATGTCAGGTCTGTTCACAGGGCGAGGAAAGGGCGGGGTGACAGTCAGCCATTAGTGTTCATATAGTTTATGCTGTATAGAGCTGTGCTGCTCCCCTCGTTAAAGTTCAGTGAGCTGCTGTTTATGACTCCTGGCTCATACACGCAGCCGCACCTGCCTGTTTGAATGACTGAAGTGGTACTAAGCTCCTCAGTAACCTTGTGGCTTTCTGTTCAGGGTTAATGGTGAGGAAGCAGAAAGTCGCTTCTGTGAACACAAACGCCTTAACATGTCGACTCTGAGGATGACCTGGGAGGCCAAAGTGCAGCTGAAGGAGATCCTGGTCAACTCTGGATTCCCTGAAGGTACCTGAACACACCACTGAGCCCGCATCCGCATCCACATCCCAGGCCTTAACTCTCAGCTCTGACCTTGTTGTGTTGCTGCTTCCCGTCTGTGCGTGTCAGTGCCATGTACCCGTCTCCGGTATGAACACCGCTCAGCTCCTAAACTGCCACACATGCACAGGTATAACTGAAATGTGAGCCACCTGCACAGAAGAATAACAACCAGGTGGTGTGTGCGATGGTCAAATGGCCCAGTTTCCTCCCAAACCTCTGGGTTACGATCTGTTCCTCCCAGTTTGGCCTGATCAGAAGCTTCTCCATAAATGTCCACCACGTCCTGGTCTCTCCACTGACCCCATCACTGTTGTCGCTCTCCTCCATGTTTATTGTTACTGGTCTGTGAGGGGCCGCCGATGATGACGGGCCGTATGTGCAGAGGAGGAGACGTCACATGGATTCCGATTTGACTGTTCTGACGGCACTCGCGTAGTCAGAGGGCGGAGAGGAATCGGTTCTAGGAGTACATAAGCAGGTGGCCTAGATCTGGTCTGGTCTGTTCACACTGCTGTGGACACATCAGGTCTGGGATGTGGATGCAGTTTTATTCCTTAAGAAATGACAGGCAGTGACCTTCTCTGTCTCTCTCAGAGTGTCTGATGACTCAGATGTTCAACACGGTCGGACCGGACAACAACCTGGATGTGGTGATTTCTCTGCTGACCTTTGGCTCGTACCCAAATGTCTGCTACCACAAAGAGAAGAGGAAGATCCTGACCACCGAGGGACGCAACGCCCTCATCCACAAATCCTCTGTCAACTGCCCCTTCAGCAGCCATGACATGAGCTACCCGTCGCCGTTTTTCGTCTTCGGTGAGAAGGTAAAATCACAACACCAAGTGTTTTTGATTCCTTTACTAAAAAAATCAAGGAGAAGAGCAAAACAAACATTTTTAAACGTCTTTCAATACAGAACTTGAAGAAATACTCAGTTTCTTTAATATTTATGTTGTATGTTGAAAACCTCAACAACATTGTTTGGACAGTAACAGTGCAGTGTGAAATGTATGCAGCACATCTGTTTGGTTTCCTCTGATTGTTCTTTGAATGGTCACAATGTCCTGAGATTTTTTAACTACAGAATGAATCGGTGCAGTTTGTTTAGTAAAAATGACAGCGGTGGAAGAGGAGATTGTCCTGTTTTCTAGAAACCCTGCATTTCTTTGCTGTAGCTTGGAAAATGGCTGACACCAACCCACATGTCCCGGGAGCTTAACAAAGCCCGACTTACTGGAATTTTTCATATGAAAATGACCCTGACAGCCACTCCTTGGGAAGTGTGGAAACTCGGTGTGTTAAATGTGGCGTTGTCACTGATAAGACTAAACCATGCTGTTGGAGCTGAGGTAGTTATTGTTTGTTTTTCAGATTCGAACCCGAGCAATCTCAGCCAAAGGGATGACTCTGGTCAGTCCGCTGCAGCTGCTGCTGTTCGGCTGCAAGAAAATCAGCTCCAACGGAGACGTGGTAGAGCTCGACGACTGGTGAGGGCCACCGCAGACACACAGCTGGAGCCTGATCTTTGTCCGTTAGTCTGCTCATTAGCTTCTCAGCTGAAAAAACTCAAACTGGACTAGCTTTTTAGGCCTAAGACGTTTCACCTCTCATCCAAGAGGCTTCATCAGTTCTGCCCGACTGGTGTTGAGTCAGAGATGTATATCCCGATGTTTTAGTCCTTTGATGGCCAGCAATGTCCCCAAACAACTGAGCCGTTATAGCCCAGCATCGGTGAGCGTCGTTACCTGTCTTTGAACCTTCACCTGTGGACCGACGCCTGTTGTCCTGGTGGGCATGTTTGGGCAGAAATCTCAAAACAGAGTTGTAGATGGACAAGTTGTCTTGTGGTGCAGTGACTAACAGGTCCCCAGTGCAGTACCTGTGGAGGGGCCGCGCCCTGTTTGTGGTTACTGCCCATGACAGAGTTGCCTCTAAGTTGTTATAAGTGTTAGTGTTGGCAGCAGGAGTTGCTGATGTTAATCACGACATGCCTACAAGGGTCTGTTTAGTGAGTGTTGACCTTTCACATGAATGTGTGCAGGATCAAACTGAGGATTCCTCACGAGGTGGCGGGGGGCGTGGCAGCTCTGCGGGCCGGGTTCGAGGCTCTGGTGGTTGAAGTGACCAAGGACCCAGAGTACATCAGACAGATGGACGAGACCAACCAGCACCTGCTCAACATCATCAGACACATCTCCAGGCCGTCAGCAGCCGGGCTCAGCATGACGGCCGGCAGCAGCAGGTAACACGACGCAATGGGCAGCAGCTAACGGCTCAGTGTGTTTCCTTGTTATACAGGCAAAGCTGTTCAACACGAGGCTCATTAAACCAAGACTGGTGTGAACAGTTTGAGTGTGTGATGGAAACCTCTCATGTCTCTGCACAGGATGGGAGATGGCCC